TGTTCTCTTCATTTTACATTTCTCTTCAACTCTGGCGAATGCGTTTGTGTGTGCCTGTCATGGTTTTGTAACATGGCAGGCCTGAGACGGCACACTCGCTTTTACCCCTTTTTTCACTTCTACTTTTCAATTTTTTTTTATAATCATTTGGCGATTTTGGATTACGAGGCTCGCCCCATATCATCTTGTATTCCGCTTTTCATTCTATATACACACAAACAAGCTTTGGCGTTTGGCGAATTAGCCGAGAGGCGATCTGTACAGCAAAAGAAAAAAAATTCCAGAAAGACATTCTCTGTACTTCCCCCGCGTATGGCGGATCATGTGTTGTTGGTTTGGACCACGGGTCAGCAGTGGGCAAACGGGAAAAAGGCCCCCAGACCCTCCCTTTTCTTATTCTTGTCTGGCGCACGCGGGCTTTGTTACGCCCTTATACAACTTTTTTTTCTTACAGCAACAAAGAGGGGTGGCGGCTTTGGCGTATGAGCTACAATATACGGGAGCAAGAGGGATGCGAGGCGAACAAGGAAACGGGCTGGGCTGGGCTGGATTGGATTGGCGTCGGGCATTTTGGGAACGGGAGAGGCTCTCTCGTTATGTTACGTTGGGTGGATCACGGGCCGCCTGCATTTGGACATTTCTTCATTTTTTTGAAAATTCTTTTGGACAACAAGAGAAAGGGAGAAGAAACAAACGGAAAGCGGGAGTTTCTCGAGTAGTTGGTTTTTTGTTTGGGCGAGAATGCTCTGCGAACTTTTTTGTCTGCGATGTCGGCTTGCTATTTTGTCGCGTAGTGCGGCTAGGTGAAATGCCAAATCAAATCTCTTGTGCTTGCCCTCTTGCTTCTTCTTTTGCTTTGCCAGTTTTATTACCTCTTGTTTGCTCTCAGCTGGTGTTTCTTGGCCTCTGCCTGCTGACCCCTTGCGTTTCTCGTCATGACCAACAGCCAGACAGCCAGCCAGCCCCCGTGCTTGAAACTCATCGCCAACGCTTTTTCTTTGATAGATGATCAGGGAGAAAAGAATGAGAGAGATGGATAGAAATGACGTGCGTGGCTGATGGTTCTCATTCTCATTACCCAAGCGTCAACACTTTATTTGCCTGATATCTTCATCTCAAACGGCCCCCATATCCCGCTCTTCACCGACTGTTTTTGGTCCTCTTCCTTGGTCTTCTTCTCCCCTCCCCCCCCCCCCCCCTATCTGGCGTGTGAGTGTTTTTTAAATATGGATCTCATTGCGATCATCTACATCTAAGGTGGTATTCATACACCTCTTTTCACGACGATCAGGCTCTTGCGGTCGATCTCGGCTTATGTTACAGATACCCAACTGCTGATCTTTACATATAACATGGGAAAAAACCCAACAACAGCAGTATAAGTTACTAAGGTAGTAAGTACATGCATACATCGCCGCTACTGAATATCAGGCATGAACAAAAAAAAACCCCTAAATGTCAATCTGGAAGAGATGCCGACTAACGGAACGGTCCCCTAAAAATGATATCATAGCTTCAAGTGCCGTGATAACAAACAAAAAACACTCAGCTTTGGGCACCAAAAAAAAAAGAATCTGCTCGTGATGCCCTCTTCCCCAAACACTAACAAAGATCCGGTAACGTTAGACAAAAAAAAAACGGCACCCCCCAGATACACATCTCAAACTTCCAATTAGGCAGTCAAGTTTGAAGAAAGCTTCTCCGCATTCTTAATTGCTCATCCCCCGGGCAGCAAAGTTAGAAACGAACGAGCTGAAAGTGATTTTAGTTGACGGGCTAAAAATCATTCGAAAAGGTCAGGTGGTGTGGAATGATGAAGCCCACCAGTCACGAGAACGATTCCGAACTATGCAACTAGGTAAAACAAAGGGAAAACGCACACAAGGTAAAGGTAGTTTAAACAACTGCTTTGTATTTCCTTCTCCCCTCCCTCTCTTTGCGTATCTCGACGCAAATTTGAATTACAAGCATCCAAGTGCTCTTTTGCTATGCTCTTTTGGCAAACAACTAGCTACTTCAAACGCCCATTAAACCAGCACACATGATACGCCCGCAAAAATGAAAACGACGACGAAAATGAATCGAGGAGATTAAAAAAGACGATGACAGGGAGAGACTGCAAAGCGTCTCGTGTATCGATTCATCACTTCCTCCCAAATGCAGAGTCGACAAGGTTTCCCCCAAAAATATCAACACATCCAACGCCAGGTGAATTCCCTTTCAAAATTAGCCCATCTCCTTCCCCTTTCCATATCCCTCATTGCCCCTGAGCCGCGCACCAATTGTCTGTGTGCGCGTGTAAATGGGCAGCTAGATACGTCCTTTTCCCTCCCCTCCGGTTGCCAAAAAAAAGTAGATATGTATCGTAGAAATAAGTATAACACACAAAGCGGGAACGGCTACCCTTCCAATTCCCTCTCTGTACGTGGCTTAGCTTCCATTGCAGCTCGCCGAGCTAGATCAAGGATGAAGTGAAGAGACATCGTAATGATTGAGCTTCCGAGTTGCCAGCCCCAGCCCTCCTCATAAATGAAGGCCGGGGAGAGGATTTGGCCCTCCCAACAAGAAGCACCGATAGACAGATGAAAACGTGCAAGGAAAATAAAAACCATCCAGAGGACGAGAAAGAAGGCACAAAGGAAATCCTCCTTCACGAGCTTCTCCGAGAGAAATGATATCGTTTCACCGTGACATAAACCCAAGCCCTGTCCCACTTCGCCCTGTCATGTACACATTGCAGGGCGGAAAGCTTTAAACAACACCAGCATTAAACGGCTAAATACGTGGCCAGCCAGAGCCTTTTGATGGGTGAGTTGCACATCCGCCCAGGTTGAGGAGCATTGGCTTGATCCTTTATGAATGGAACAGATCCCAGGCTCTGGCACACAGCTGTAAGAATTCTTCCTTCTTGGCTCGCTGTGTTTCGGGGCTGTCACGGCCGGCGCCAAAGGGACCACGTCGGGTCGGGGCAGGGCCATAGCCCAGCGGAGGGCTGCTGCCTTCCTCATATTCGGCGCGTGTTCGCCTTCGGCTTGTGCTTCGATGGGCCTCGGGGTTGCGGTTTCCGGCAGCAACGGGAGAGGGGGGCGTCGGAGGTTGATGACCGCCGTAGTGGACGAGTCTAGGTAGTAACTCTGGTCGTCCACCGGCCAATTCATGCTGGGCCTCTTCCGCGGACTTGTACTCTCTCAAGCGACCAGACGTTGGCGGTTGGTGAGCTGGAGGGAGACCAGGGGACAACTGAGGCCGCGAGGCTGCGTGACTGGGGTAAAGGGCCGAGGTGTGTGGTCCATTGTCCGGATGGGCTGAGAGGTTCTGGCCAAAGACATCGCTAATGGGAGGCAACCGGTTTGTGGTCTGGTGAGCGTGAACATGGTGGATGTGGGAAGTACTTCCAAGGTTAGAAGCCTGGTTATGCACTTGTCTTGAAGGTGGCATATGTTGTCCAGTGAAGCTGCGGCCAAGGGGTGCGGATTGAATCACTCTTTCGTTTGCAAACTGTTGATGTGAGGGCGCAACAATTGAGAGCCCCGGGGGAGCCTTGTTTCTACGAGACATGCCTGGTGTCTTGGCGGCGAAGGGCGATTCCTTGTCCTTTTCAGATGGGCCATCTCCCTTGGCAGATTGCTGCAGCTGCAGTCTTGCTTCGATGAGACTTCGTTGCTGCTCCCGAACCGTCATGCTTCGCTGAAGTTGTTCTTTCATCACAGGATCCTGGGTCATAAAGCCCGGGGAAAGACAGGCGATGCCAACTTCTTGGATTCCCAGTCCGTCGCGCGCCGTCATTGGATGGGCTGAGGAGGGATTGGATCCAGCCAGAGTGTTCTTGGACAAGTCCAAGCGTCTGGGCCGAGGCCTTGATGCGGGCAAACCAGGCGAAACTGGCTCTTTCTTAACGACAATCTTAGGTTGGCTGGCATCTCTTCGAGATCTGTAATAGTAACCGAATTTGTCAGCAAGATGGACTTTGGTCTCGCTGTAGTGAAAAAAAAAAAGACAGATGCCAAGTGTCAGTGTGCAGGACGACAGAAACTTACGCGTTGGGAGAAGATTTGCTTGTGGTAGCATTATCAGACTTCGGGCTGCCGGTGTTGGACGGCTGGCCCGTAGTTGTTGCGCTTGGGAGTTGACTCCTCGGCTGTGAAGGCACCGCGTTTCGCGCAGGTGGCGACGTAGAAGTTGAAGGAGCAGAATGTTCGGTAGCAAAGGTACTCCTTTCATGAGGGGCCGGCGAAGGGGCCATGGCAATTGCTGTGCTCATAATGACGGTATTTTCGAGAGATGGAATTATGCGTATGCGAAGAGGCTATGATTTGGATGAAGCCGAGCTGGATCAGCAAACGGCGCGGGCGCAGAGCGTGCGAATGTCGCTCGAGACAATTATCGTCTGGTTCAGTTCACGGCGCGACTGAAGAAAAAGATTCGAAAACGGGAACCTGGATTACCCCGAAACCAACGGAGCCCAAATTGCACTTCCCCTCCACCAAAATGTTGCGCTTCGTGATTCTTCCCTGGGTCGCTAGCGCACAGAGAGAGAGAAAATAAAAAGAAAGCGACTCGATCGTGTGTTTCCCAAAGTCGATGGTTGGGTTGTAGGAAGAAAAAAAAAAGAAATGCTAGAGGCTCGCCCTGCCTTGTCTGCGCAGCAACGAGGACCTTGAAAAAGGCTGGCGAGAGAGGGAGAAAAAGGCCAAGTTGGGGGGGAAAGGCGAATGCGTTTCAGGAGACTGGCGATTCGAGATGTGGTTTGGCCGAATATAATGCGATCGGGGAGCAAGTACGGAGTACTTCGTATTTAGGACCCGGTAAGCCAAAGCTCAGGCGATTTGGGGCTGGAGGAATTTTGAGACGCTGGTACCGTGTACACGCACAAGCGCCCGTAGGTCCAGAAGTTAATGCAGACAGGATGCATACACCCACGCACCACGCGCGCACACCAGGGGTTGCCGAGGGCGGTTCCGGGCTTTATTGGCGAATGGGACGGAGGCGTTCCAGTGCGTTTACAGGCACACTTTGCGATGGATGAGGAGAGCGGACGGACGGGCGTCGGCGAACTGGGGCGGGTCTTGCGAGAAGTAGGAGATGCAAGTTGAGGTGAATGTATTGATGTTGACTTTAGTTGTGAGCAGCCCGTGTGTAAATATGGAAGGCGGAATATGACTGGAAGTTGAAGCTGCAAGCAAACGGACGGCAGAAGGGAAAAAGAACGAGACAAGAGTCGGACGGCGGGAGGGGCAGGCGCCGTTTGTTTTATTTGGCCCGCGCAAACGCATGAATCGCTCTGCTCTGAATAGCCTCCCGCAGGCCTTGATGAAAGGGGCCCCCAGGTTCGTCACAGAGGGAGGGGAAGTGACACGGATGCCGGACAGCTTCTCAGCAGCTTGTGAAGCGATGGATGGGAGATGATGGATCGAAAACAGCATGGGGGGGGGCGTGTCTGAGAGAGGCCAGACTCGACGTCTCAGCGGATGCCATCAATGACAGTAGCGACCGGTTTAGAGTGCAGCGTTAGCAGTGTCAGAGCCTGAAATGGAGCGCTGAAGCTGCTACAAAAGCCACTGCGCGCATCAGGCACAGCGCTGAGAGCGACGGGACCTCGAGGTACAAGCAGGTACCGCAGCTGCTCGCAAGGCACCGCAAGGCACCGCTAGCGCCCTTGCTGCTCTTTGCTGCTCCCGGTAGCGCACGTGTGCCGCGTGCCAAATCCTTGTACCCTCCAGTACTCTTACTACTTAGTAGCACTCGTGCCTGTCCGATTCGAGGGGCGTGTGTCCAAGGCCGCCCAAAACCCAAAACAACAGCCCACTGTACTTGTAGGAGCCGCCTGCGGTGCATCGGGACCAGGGGCTGGCAAGCTGGGAGGCTCCCTGGCCCTCAGCGACCTCTCACTGGATTGCTGCTGATCCACCGCCCCTCCGCCTCACCTGCGCTGTGCGAGCAGAAACCCGTCAGGCTCATCAGGCCTGTCCACCCACCACCGCCGGGCCAAGGCTGGTAGAGTGTTTTACCTAGATGCTCTAGCTGCCCGTTTGTGTGAATGAAGCGAATTTTTTTCTTCTCAAGGTTCCAATATTGGTTATGTTGTGTTGTGTTGTCTTCTTTCGGCTGGTGCTCTTTGTTTCTCTCTCTTGTGTGTGACGTGACCCCCGGGTGACTTTAGCCCACCAGCAAGTGCCTCCCTGTTGACGCTTGGCTGTCTGGTCGCTCCAGGTACCGGCAGTCCCTGGCAGTGATCAGCCCGAGCATTGACATTCATTTTGGGGGCTAATTTCAATCAAATACAAATGATGTATTTTTGGATTGACGTGCCTGCATGTGCTTCAATTAAATGGCAGCTCAAAACAATAGCGTCATTCCATCGATGACGGCACTCCAGGCGGATGCTTGAATATTGACCAAATCCAATATTCGCACAAGGAATGCTGGTACTATTGGGTGCTGGTGCTTATCATGCTTGCTCCGCATCGTGAATTATTGACAACATCGCATCAATGACTTGTAGGTACATGTAGACGGAACATGGAACAGCTGCTTGTTTTAGCACCATCCCATCACCAGCACCAGCCGTCGCACCGGCTCGTTACATTTGCGCTGTAGCTCGCCGATGTCATTGCCCGCGCAGACAATGGCCGTTTCGACAGAGAAACCGTCGACAAAAGAGAGAGAAGCAATTCAGGCTGTGTTGCCACTCGCCGAGCTAATACTGGAGCCGGGGCCCCCTGGTGCGGAGTGCGTGCGTTGGATATTTGTGTGGTGAGGTTGTAGCGTTTCAATGGTGAGACGCCTACCGATACCGATGCGCTTCAGGACAAGCACGACGAGTACGGAGTAGAGCGCAAAGAATTTTTGAGGCCTCTACTCCGTACTCGTACATCCCGGCCAGCCAGCCGTCTCCTGTGACTGGTGCAAGTGCGATGCGATGCGATGCGATACGATACGATGCGTGCTACGAGTACTTCTAATGCTTGGTATGCCAGAGCACAAGTGCCTCGAGATGGCTCGGATTGGGCAGCGCCGAGAGATTATTGGCGCAGCAATCTATCATGCCTCGGCAGCTGAATCTTTTGTCAACGACAGGGGTTGAAGTTGCATTTGATCAATTTGTCCTCGCGCAATGCTGTGCGCGGCAGCAGTCACCGGATCAATGGAGCCTTGGTTGTTCCTCATCTTCTCTTTTTTGATGATCACGATTCTCTCATGCCAGATAACTCCCGCCTCGACTTCATTTCCCGCGGCCCCAGATAGAGGTCCAAGCAACATAGCGTTGAATTGAAACCCGTAATGAAGAATGAAGCCTCCCCACATTGCTAGCTGACGGTAATACTCCAGAAACACGATCCAACTGCCACTTCGTTCATTGCAGCCATTCGCCATTGGGCATTGCACTACATGCTAAGACCCTGGGTCAAATTAGTAGTAGCTGGAAAAGTTAGCTTAGCTCTTTGGCCCTGTCGATCTCGTCGAGTTCCACATTACTCGGCCATTGATAGTCTCTCGATGCTGTATCACGAATTTTTTTTTCTTTTTGCCTTTCTCTTCATTCTTGCAATACGAAGACCCGTTGGATTGGCTCCGCCTGGCTATCGGCGACTGCATCCCTAGCATGTAGTTGTGAAATTCGATAATGGGAAACAAACTTTGCCGGCGGGGCCATGATCGCCGTCCCTTGGTCTCTGTTTCTCGTATCCATGGATGATTTTTTTGCAAACATTGCTCAGCCGCATATGATTCATGTACGAGTAGCTTCAATCCTTCAATGTCAGCAATTCTCTCTCGCATCAGCTTCTCGCTCTGCTTTGCTCTGACTCTTCTCTGCTAATATGAGATGCATATCAAGGCGCTACTGTACGTGCACATTGCCCATAACATGTACTCGTGCATATTCTTTCTGGCTAAAGGAAGATGAAAAAAAAATGTTCGTAGAGCAGTTCCTATCTTGGTGGGCGTTGCAAATCCGTAGCACGATACTTCGTACTGGCTGCATGACCCCTCATTAGACCGGGTACATGTATTCGCCCTTCCTACAGACACCCCCCTTTACCCCTGTACGCCTTGTAAAAGGCCATGTTCCTGTCTGTACTGGGTTTTCTCGACATCGTACGAAGTGCTGTATGCGACTGTAATATACGAGTATGAGTCGCAAATATTGGTTGATGCTGCCCATTTGTGGTGGTAGTATTGGGAAGTAGTAGCCGACTTTTGGTGATTAGGATGCGACAAGGGCTTCGGAAAGCAGATGGGAAATGCAACCCTGATTTCGTGCATTTCATCAGAAGACTTGGAGCCAGATCAATAATGACCGACTAACTGTAGCAAAAACAGAAAACCTGCGTAGCTTGAGCCCTTTGTACGATCCAAATGTCACTGCTTGGGGTTATCTGGAGGCCATTACACACAGACGTCAACATTCATACCTAACATCCATAGCAGAACAGAGCAGGGCAAAAAAAAAAAGCAGTCAACCCCCTGTGCCGAAACTCGCAGCGTTTGAGCATTTCGCCACGCCTTTTTTTCCCCCGTCGATCGCATCAGGACTCTCTTCTCTGTCCCCTTGCCCAGGACCCTGAAATCCCCATCGCCAGCCTTCTCACCGCTGTGCCCAGGCGCCCACTCTGCTCCAGATGTGAAAACCGGTAGGGCTCCTGCTCATGCTTCATTCTTTGTGACTCGTTGGATTATTCCCTCTCCTCCAAGGTTCCCAATGTTTCTTTTCCTTCGTCGTCAGGGTCCTGCCCCACCGCACCCAGCGCTATCCCGCTTCGCCTGCCCACTGATTTTCGATACTCGAACAAGCTCGTGCCTCATCGTGGCTCCTGCGCACGCTGTGACAGGCACGTTACGTCCACCTCAGGGTACATGTACCCGCGCTGGGGGGCTCATGAGGGTTAATGGATCTTGGGTAAATTGAGCTCTGTCGGTACCTTATACTCGTACAGGTACTGGACTGTGGTGGACTTGGAATGGCGATGCTAAACGTGTTGGACTTCTTGCAGCTTCTTCTTTGGATGCTTTGCCTCCACAACTAGCAGATGCTACCAACATGATCGTACATACTACTAGACCGGCAACTTGAAGAGATTTTGTCCTTCAACTGCAGCCACTAAAGGTAAACATACTCGTACCGTACATGGCACCAAAACTTGTCGCAGCCCTATTCGCGGACCCCAACGACATCCATGTCAGCCGCCGCTCACATCAGACGACCGCAGGTAGCCCGTTGAAATAAAGTACGGCAGCTCCCCTGGAACCGACAAAACAGTTTCATCGCTGGTAGATCGCTCTACTTGTAACTGACGTATGTACAAGCACAGCTCCTGGCGGTATGGTCGGATGTTGTTTCTTACGGGCTTGCCACCCACCGTGTATAGAGGAGCCTCGTGACGAGACTGAGACTGAGAAAGAAGAAGAAGAAGAAAAAAGAGGAACAAGACGCCCGTCTCCGCTGGGAACTAATCGCTGCTTCACCTGAGACGACGACGTCTCAGGTCGGGTGGGACGCCCTCTGGCAAGGCTGCAGGGGTTTGGCTCCGTCCCCTTGTCCGTCATTCGTTGGACGTCGCGCTTAGCTTGCTCGACTATTAGCTCCGTTTCAACCCAATGCTGCGACCAAGAGAACGATTGGGCGGCCCGGACCTTTTCGAGCTCGGAAGAGGCAACGTCCATCATCGCCTCTTGTTCCCTTTTTGTTTCATTGTGTGCTTGGCCCAGAGGGAAAAGGAAAGGAGAGACAAGATTTTTGCAAGCTCGGCGGAGGGCTCTGCCTCTGCTTCACCATGAGAGACAGAGACAGAGACAGACCCTGTTCCTGTTGCGAATCCGTGCACGGCCTGATGTATCACTAGGCCCTCTCCAAGAAATGCCGACAACCCAATCAAGTCTTGACCGGCGTTACACGAAATTGCTTGTGATGGTAACGTCCCCCCAGTTTCCCCGAGTGGCCACCGCTGCGAGTTGATTGACTGTGACCAGGGATCCTCCAACCCCAGCGTCCACAGACAGGTATTTATATGGCATGTGATGTAATTTCGGTGGGGGTTGGTCTTTTTTTTTCCTGCTCCCTCTGAATCTCTGACCGTCTCGATCCCTTCGGCCTTGTAACACCACACTGCCCGTATTTTCGGTTTGAGGTAACTATCCTAGAGCCACCGGGCTCGTATGTGGTTCGTGTACAATTACGCATGCAAGAGGATACCCAATGCTGCATGTGAGTCTTTCGGTGCTGGCTGCTGCACGACTGATACGAAATAGACTAGATCCTTGTGTAAGCTTGCAATTTGCGCATATTACGAGGCACATTATAAGTGTGATTCATACCCGCACTCTGCACTCTGTATATCACCGCTCATTATACGGAGTAGTGTGCCTTCTAGTTACTGCATCGCATGTTGTTAGTCCAATGAAGCACAGCTGCCCGATATGAAGT